ATATATAAAGAAAATAATACCAATTTTCCCACATGTTAGGCTCTATGATGAGAAGCTCACGCCATGTGCCACTATCTGTGAACCCCACGCCACATGGGATCAAACCCCTGATCTGAGGGGACTTACAGTGACCCTGCCACCAACAAGCTAAAACTTGCACGCGCACGCACACACACACCCATATATCATAAGATTTATGCATATATGAGGACTACCAATTTGTAATATCTTCTTGGCCCCACTTAAACATTACCTTGTGGATGTATAGATTATGCTATTAACACCCTCATCACTTTTCTTTCTTTTACCATTTGAAGTATGTTTTCAATATTCAACTTTGGAGATGATAGAGCAACAATGTAATGAACATTAGCATGCCTCATTACTTGAGAATATTATACACAAAAAAATTTTTTGTTAAGAAAATATTTCACTTTAAGCTATAGTTAAGTTAATTGATACGTTATTTGCTTCTCACTCATTTGTTGTGCATTTGTTGTGCAAATTCACAAACAAATTCATTATTTAATATCACATCATCAACCACTTTGCATTATCTTAATGCATATTGGCATACTATTTCTGTAACTAATAATTTAAGAACTAACATATTATTTAATCCTAATATTGTCAAAATCATCTTCTTTGTAGCTTAACTCTTTACTTAAACAATAATAATAATAATCTCATATGCTTTCACATGAGGATCTAATTATGCAATTATTGATGGAAGGTACTCTATCAATATTCAGGCATTGTTGTCAATTAAGAAACATTTGATTTAAAGAATGATACATCACCATTGGTTGAATGTGTTACTAAGAACAACTTATAATTTAAGAATCCATAGACACATATGTGAGAATGTTAATGAATAAAATTATATTTTAATTTAATAATTAAGATTTGGCTAGTTTATTTATAATAAAATAAGTAATATGAATTTTACTAATTTATATATTTGTATAATTTGTTGCGATAGAGTTGAAAGCCCTTAGGATGCAATGTCAATATCCTAAATTTTTAAGTCAACTCTTTTTATTTGCATATATAAGAACAATGTGTTCTTTTGATATCCTTCGATAATAAGACCTTGAAATTTTCAGTATCTATAATATTTAAAGCCATAAAGCCTCCAATAACTAGATATTTCCATGGTTGATTGTGTAAGTTGAGTCATCGTAGCGGGACACCCATTTAACCCATTTAAACAAGCAGAAAGCTTTATTGGTGGATATCTTGCCTTCTTTTGCAAGCGATATAACTCGTCTCTTATATGGGAGCTTTGCTCTTTTGAAATTAGTTTGACAAAACTTCATGCTTCATCCATAAAATTGCCTAAGATTATGCTAGTAATCAAACATCAACTATGTCAGGGTTCTTTTGGGTAGCTTTTTCTTAACTTTTCTTTCAATATATTTGCTACAATTTTGTTAGGTGACAACTTTTCTACTACTCTTAGAATTTATATGATGTAGTTTCTTACAACTAGACTTGTTAGAACATAATAACTATAAATAAATTATTAACCAATATTTTTGAAAAAAAAATGAGAATTTTCTTACGGAGTGCATTAGTTTCTCATATTGCGATTATGAGCAAGATCAAGGAAAATTTTAAAAACGAACAACAGGTCCACCCTTTACTAGGCATTTCTTTCATTTCACTTTCTTTTCCATATATAGCACTCATTGAGCCATTGGGAGGCTTCCCTGACACCTCTCAACATCCTCTATTTAATATCTACTTATCCATTTTCCTTTTTCTCCATTTCTTCTTGCTTTCATTTGCTCTTCCAACATTTCCCAAAACATCCACCACACAAAGTCAAAATAGCCCTACAAACTATATTAAAATAATGTTGAGTTGTGCTAAGCATATCATAAAAGAAGATAACTTTTCAAGATGTTGAAAGAGCAAGAGGAAGCAGAGGAAGAAGCAATGGAAGAAAAGAAAATCAATTACTAGTTACATGTGTAGAAGATGTTGAGAGATAAGGAGACCCCCACAAAATCTCAATGTATATTATTAGAAAGAAAAATGGTTAATAATCAACTTGGCCTCTGAAGGAAACTTACTCATCTATAGAAAAAAAATGTCAAATGGACAAGTTAGAAGATTTTGTAGTCATTTAAAGTAAAATTAATTTGGGTAGCTTACTCAATTACTAAGCTAGTTGCCTAATATGATAAAAATAAATGAGAAAATCATACCCATTTTATTGACAATTTGCTAATTTTAGCTTTATTAAAAATTTGACTCTTATTAAATAAGGGTTGTTCCTTTCTATTTTTTTAGAATGAATCTATAATACTTACCCAACTTTGCAAAATTTATTTTTTTCATAACTTCATAAGTATTTTTAGGAGCATTTGCTTACATATGCCCAATTACTATGTATTGACATATCTAACACCTAAACTTCAATTTTTTTTTTTTTTACATTTATACCATCTAAATCATTCATATCTCATGAAAGTTACTACTATTTTAATATTTAAAAAGTGAAATATATATATTTTATGCATAAGTAAGATAACATTGACATATATAAAAATTGAAGTTTAAGAGTTGGTAGTGTAAATACATTATGACTTGTGTACTTTGCATGTGAGCCTTCTCTCTTTTTATAAACAATGTTTCCCCCAAACAAAGCATAAGGAATTAATCGGGAAAAAACGCATTTACATATATAACACCCAATTCTTATGTATTTGCAATTTTAACACCAAAATCTAAACTTAGCGCTAAAATCTTTATTATTACATTAAAAACACCATCCTTACTAAGTTTTTAAAATTAAAATACATGTTTTTATACATAATTTTATGGCACCAGATAAATATAAATATTAAAATTTAAATATTAGATATATAAATACATAAAAACTATGTGGTATATATGTAAATTAAAAAATAATAATAATAACAAACAATAATTGCAAAATAAAAAGGTTTGGCCCAGAATCGAAATGCCCACGTGGTTTCCGTGAAACCCATCCCCCCCTCCCAAACCGGTCCCCACGCCCCGGCCCCACTCCAACCAAGCAACCCAACTATCCCGGTCACCCCTCACACCTCCACCATCTATCTCCGGTTATCCAGCGGTACCCTCACCAACGGTACCCCCATCACCCCTCCCTAACTTATATTCTCCCACACGCGCTTCCTCTCCTCTCCAATGGCCGCCTGCTCCACCGGTCCTCTTCTCCCTCCCCGGCAACCCTAAACCTAACCCTAACTCACGCCATGCCCTCACGTTCCTACACTGACCTTCTTCACCTAACCGCTACCCCGCCTCCCCTCGCCCGCCTTCCTCGAGTCATGACGTTCCCCGGGATTCTCGCCGACGCTTACCGCCTCCCCTCGCCAGCCTTCCTCGAGTCATGACGTTCCCCGGGATTCTCGCCGACGCTTACCTTGACGAGCCACCCCCCTTCTCCGCCGGTCCCCTCTCTCCCTGTCCAATGAAGGAGCGACGCATCATCGTCACTAACCATCTCCCTCTTCGCTCCGCTCGCGACCCCATCTCCGGCCAATGGTCCTTCTCCTGGGACCTCGACGCACTCGCCTTCCAGCTCCGCTCCGGCCTCCCCGGCGGCTCCTCATCTTCCTCATCCGATGTTATCCATGTCGGAACCCTACGTGCCGAAATCGATCAGGCCGATCAGGACGAAGTCGCCCAAATACTCTCCCATAAGTTCCACTGCGTCCCCGTCTTCCTCCCCCCTGACATACACCAGAAATTCTACCATGGATTTTGCAAACACTATCTATGGCCTCTACTGCACTACCTCCTCCCCTTTTCCCCCGCCTTACAAGGCGGCCTCCGCTTCGATCGTCACCTATGGCTTGCTTATCTTTCTGCGAACAAGCTCTTCGCTGATCGCGTCATGCAGGTCGTGTCGCCCGACGATGACTTCGTCTGGGCGAACGACTACCACCTCCTCGCACTACCAACATTTCTCCGCAAGCGCTGCCCTCGAATTAAGCTCGGATTCTTCCTCCATTCTTCTTTCCCTTCATCGGAAATCTTCGGCACAATCCCTGTCAGAGAGGAGCTGCTCCGGGCCATCCTCAACACGGACCTCCTAGGCTTCCATACCTTCGACTATGCTCGACATTTTCTGTCTTGCTGCTCTCGCCTCCTCGGCCTTCACTATGAGTCCAAGCGCGGTTATATTGGGTTGGAGTACTATGGAAGAACTGTTACCGTTAAGATACTCCCGGTAGGTGTCGATATGGGGCAACTAGAGGCAGCGATTTCCTCCCCCGAATCCCAATCCAAGGTTCGGGAACTGATGATTAGTTTCAAGGATAGGATCTTACTTCTTGGCGTTGATGATATGGATATATTCAAAGGAATCAGCTTGAAGTTTTTGGCAATGGAACAGCTTCTAGAAGACAATCCTAGGCTCCGTGGTCGCGTTGTTCTAGTGCAGATTGCCAACCCTGCTCGAAGCCAGGGGAAGGACATTCAGGAGGTGCAGGAGGAGACAAATTCCCTCGCGAGAAGGATTAATGAGAAATATGGCTCATTTGGGTACAATCCCATTATACTGCTTGATGGGGGACCTCTACCTACTTTTGAGAAGGTTGCTTACTATGCTGTTGCTGAGTGCTGCGTTGTCAATCCTGTGAGGGATGGGATGAATTTAGTACCGTATGAATACACCATTTGTCGTCAATGGAGCCCGGCATTGGAGAATCTTCCAAAGAAGAGTGTGATTGTAGTTTCAGAGTTCATCGGGTGCTCGCCATCACTGAGTGGAGCAATCAGGGTTAATCCATGGAATGTGGAGGCTGTGTCCGAGGCAATGAACTTGGCCATCACCATGCCGGAGTCTGAGAAGCAGCTCAGGCATGACAAGCACTACAAGTATGTCAGTTCTCATGATGTGGCATATTGGGCGAGATCATTTGATCAGGATTTGCAAAGAGCTTGCAAGGATCATTTCACTAAAAGGTGTTGGGGCATTGGCTTTGGCTTGAGCTTTAGGGTTGTTGCACTAGGCCCCAGCTTCAGAAAGCTGTCAGTGGAGCATTTAGTTTCTGCTTATAGGAAGACTAGCAGCAGGTTGATATTGTTGGACTACGATGGGACGATGATGCCGCAGAGCTCCACCGATAAGACTCCAAGCAAGAAAGTCATTGATATTCTGAATGACTTGTGTTCTGATGAGAAGAATGTTGTTTTTGTGGTTAGTGGCAGAGGGAAGGATTCATTGAGCAGGTGGTTTGAGTCTTGTGCCAAGTTAGGAATCTCTGCTGAGCATGGATACTACACAAGGTAATTCTTTGCATTTTGAAATACATATATATATATATATATATTCTGTCGATTAATTCTGTGAGAGAAATTGGATTTGTTTAGCATTTGGTTTCAAAATCTTTTTATTTATTTGAAGATGGGTATGCTATATCAATAATCAATCAATTTTTATATTGTTCTCTTCTCAAGTCAAATCTGAACTTTCTAAAGCTCATCCTAACAAAATTTTTATTTTGATTTGGATCTCCTCGATCTTTGTTTACCTTAATTCTGGATTTTCTAAACAAAAAAAATGAAAACCACCTTAAAATGGTAGGAAATAGTGTTTCCTGTTATCAGATTAATCGACCTTTTATTTTTTTAAACATGAAATCATAAGTTCAATGATGCATCACAACATCCTATGATGAATTTAGATCCTTTTGTTTTTATTTTTTTTATAAATTTCACATAAAAAGAGCTGCCATATATGAACGGGGTTGAATTATGTCGAATCTTACCATCATTAAACTTTTTAATCTTAAAATAACCTTAAAAATTCAATTTTTATCCTAAACGCAACCAATCTCACGCAGCTCATATTACCAATTTTCTCTTCCACTCTAAAGCAAAAAGATAAACGCAGCCATGCTTCCGTGTTTTGCCAACCAAGAACATTAATTAATTTTACCACTGTTCATGTTGATTGAATCACAAGCATTTTTTTATATGGTCAGAAAATTTAACACGTAATTCATTTCTGCTCATTACTTTTCCTTTGTTGACTCGTTGTCCATCACTGTAGATGGTGCCAGAATTCTCCCTGGGAGTCCTGCAACGTGGCTTCTGACTTCGAGTGGAAAAGGATTGCAGAACCTGTGATGAGACATTACGCAGAAGCTACAGATGGCTCCTATATTGAGCACAAGGAAACCGCTCTGGTCTGGCACCACCAGGAAGCAGATCCAGATTTCGGTTCATGCCAGGCAAAAGAGCTCCTTGATCACCTGGAGAATGTTCTCGCTAATGAACCCGTAGTTGTCAAGCGAGGCCAACATATTCTGGAAGTAACCCCTCAGGTATATTCTATATAATTGAATTTCTCCTCATTTTTCATCTATATATATATATATATATATTAAAATTTTTCACCATGTCAAAAGGTGGTCAGTCATGCTCAAAAAGAAATTTTTTAGTTTAAAATGAATGATTATTCTCAGGTCCTACCTAGTTGCTATAGGATATATAAATTTTGTTGTACCATTGTTTTCAATTATTGTCTCCTTCTGTTCTGAGTGACATTTGTTGATTCCATTCTAACAACCAGAAACCTTTAATTGTGGATAAGTCCCCCCTTCTCATTGCTTCTCAAATCATATTCTGTAGCTTTCATAAACAGCTGGCTTCAGCCATTTCTGTTGACCGGGGTTTCTTAAATCCTCCATTGATATTGTTGCAGGGCATAAGCAAAGGTATAGTTGTAAAGAATCTGATATCAACCATGCAGAGTAGAGGGAAACCACCAGACTTTGTTCTCTGTATCGGTGATGATCGATCCGACGAAGATATGTTTGAGACTATCTTGGGTTCTCCTACCACAGAGCCTTCTGTTCCAGCAATTTCTGATGTTTTTGCATGTACTGTTGGTAAGAAACCAAGCAAGGCGAAGTACTACCTTGATGACACAGTTGATGTAATCAGTTTGCTTGAAGGCATAGCTGCTGCTTCTGCTCAACCAGCCAGAAGATCTCTTCTTCAAGTATCATTTGAAGGATCACTTTAGGCTTGGAATCGACAGCTAAAGATTTGATATTTTTCTTTGCACATATTGTTTAAATACCTCCATAGTCAGCTCTGCACATGAAGATATAGTTTAAAGCGAAGATGAGGGAGAAAAAGAGATGCTTATGAGAAGGTTTGGTTCAAATTTCATTATATCGGACAGAAAAGTTCAGATATGCAATGTACATATCACAAAGCTGCTGTTTTTCGTTTTTCATTTTTCATTTTTCGTAGACCTCATTTTACAGTTACAAGCAATTATATGATTTATATCCATATTATTTACTTTATTACTCTCTGAATATTCTGTAAGAAATATCAATATTTTCTTTTATCAATGTCTAAGTTCGAGATGCTGATATTTTTATCCTTATTATGCTTTTTTGATTTTTTATTTCAACGTTTCCTGTTTTTGCAATATTAGCTTTTAATGCGGCTAAGTTGGAAAAGTTCCTGCTTTAAATTCAAAAAAAAAAATAATAATAATAAGAAAAAAAAAGATGAGGTCATGTAGGGCTTTTATGAGTTAATTTTTGTATTATAATTTTTTTTTGTATAAAACGTAGGTATCTTGTGTCATAAAGGCATAATTTGGATAAGATCCAATGCTTAGTTGGAAGCTAGTTGAATAATAGAGTTGTGTGCATGAACCGGGAATATACTATTATGGATTAGTTGGCTAAGATGGCTTCCTGTAGCGACACATTAATTTATGCTTTTCTTATGGAATATGACATCTTCCATAATGAATATGCCGCAAGTCAAATCTTGTGAATAATACAAAAGCCAAACAATGGATGGATAAGAGTTATCTTAATACAGGGGAGGAGACATCCTCGCTTGTCCTTATTGTTCTATTTTTTAAATATCTCTCGCTTGTTTGCATCACCTCTATCATGTGATTTTTTCCTCACTAATATTTATGAATACATACATACCTACATATATATATATATATATATATATATAATATAACTTCAACCCGATGACAGAACGAACATGACCCAAAAGAAAATTTATGTCAGATCCAGTTTCATGAATGGAGTCAGGGAAAATATCAAAGGATCATATAGCCTTTCATACATGAAGAACATGGTTGTGTGCACCTTTAAAGTTTTTTTTCTTAATAATCAAAATAAAATCTACAATATTTTAGTCTTGAACGTTATTATGGATAAATCTTTGAAGATTAAACTTTTTAGCAAATATTTTATTCTAATGAGTTTTAGTCTTGATCATATCAAGACAAACCTCATACATGAAAGGAATGAGCACATGTAATGAGTTAAACAAAGCAGATGGGTCGACCGCAACACCATAAAGTGAGCAATCAGTTTCACATATACATGTCCGATCATAAAATTATACAACAAATGTATAAATTTGAAATTAAAGTATCAGGCATGAGCATGAAACTCTCGGTCCTCGCCACAATCCCTGTTGTAAGTTTTAGGATTTGTGCTCATATCTTATTTCTTATACAGACTCTTCTAAAGGATTCTAAAAGTACAGAAATTAAAAAAAAAAAAAAAAAAACCACCAAACAAAAATAAGGAGCACATGTTATATCATGCAACGTGTAAGAACTTATATCCAGCAAGAGGAGAGCTGAGCAACATATACACAAAATGTGTTAGTCTAAATCATTAAGCTTTACCCTTTTGGATAAGTTGCCTGCAAGGAAAATCCACACTACTTATATTAGTGTGCAAGTCTCACATCCAAAAGATACTCAAGATGTGCCACAATTAGCACAAGCAAAAGAATTATAGCTATGCATGTAAATTCCTAACTACACCCTAACCCTAATTTCAAACAAGAACTACAAGGTGTTCTCTAACCAACATTTGAGTGCAAGACGTGTAGTGCGAGGCCTAAGGGTCTTCCCGTAGGATCTTGATGGGTCACCACATTTGTTTCGACCCAAGTATTTGAATGAACTAAGACTCACCACGACCAACAATAGGAGTTAGCCTGAGCGGAGGGGTATGTCAACGGTTCGGGAGGACGAGTCCCTTGGTCAGCCATCTATAAAAATGGAAAACCCATCTGTCCAAGATAACCAAACTTGGTCGAAAGATATCACCGAACAAGCCAAAGTAGACCGCCACCCATACATAATGGTGTGCCAGTGACTGAAAGGGAGATTATTGTATTTCGTGACTTCCAGAAGTTAAGAAATTATGACTTTATTCCAATAAAAACTATTGTCGACTAATAGACGGGTGTCATGTATTCCCTGCACCGAGCTTAAAGTGGTGCATCAACTACACAACTAGACAAAGCAAGGACAAATGTCCGGTTAACTTTCGATGTTAAAATGTCAAAGCCCAAGACTCCAAGTCGAAAGGAGACTGTAATGATGTGTTCCCATCAACGAAAGACTCGATATGAGACCAAAAAGTAGAGGACAACACCGTGACGCCAAGACTACCCCCGTGACTTTGGCTTAAGCAGACAAACGGCCCACTCCGGATTGTGAAACCATCGTAATCTAGTCCCACAGATCTAGCACCATACCACCAAAAAAGCATTATCTAGTGCCAGATAAAAGTGAATTGGATGGCCTTCTTGCGCCATCACGGAGACAATGGTGTGTGGTTACATGTGGGGTGAAATAGTGGTAAGACATCAATGATCTGTCTATGACAATCCAATAGTGACGGCCAAGCATTGCTAATATTTATCTTAACGAGATGCTCAATCTAACTATAAACATGTTTGAGTTGAACTTTATATTGGTCTTCCGAGAATGTAAACACTCAATTTGGCTAAAAAACATCTAAGACTTTAAAGATTATTTGATCCTCCAAATAATATCATAAAATCTCAGCTCAAGTATTACATCATGATTGCCCCCAAAGTATATGAATTTTTGGATGACAAATCAAATATAAATTATCCAACTCGACAAGCCCTCCTTTTTTTTTTCCTACTAAATTTTTTCCAATAAAATGCAAATCTCTCAATTCTTTAATTATTTGTGCATCTAATTTTTTTTTTAGCAAAAAGTACAATAATTGAAACCAATCCCCATTCTATCCACCCAAATCTCTTCAACCATTACCTTTTCTTCTAGATAAGGCTTTATTAATTAAAGATGTAGAGGTCCCCTCAAAACACAATACCTCACTTCCTAAATTTATAATTTTGAATAAAAAGTGCGCTATTTTGCAAATATTTTTCCACAAAAGAGGACAAGACCTCTCTCTTGCAATGCTGGGAAAGAATATATGGATGGTGTTATTATGGAAGACGGAATTAGCCGCATTAGTTGGAGAAGGAGATGCCTCCCCGACGGGAAACCGGGACGCTGCCATGCCACGTGGCCTTTTTTGGGCCCCATAAGTCAATTGTTAAGCCAAAGACTTAATGATATCAACGTCTATGTTATCTGTCTTTTATTTTTTAATTATGATGTGATATATTGAAGTGCTTTAATTGAGTTCATTGGGCTAATTTTATCTAATTATAATTAAATGAATCTATTTTTAATCAATATCTTATTTTTAGTCATCCCTTCTAATTTATATTTCATTTAACCAAATAAATTGAAAAATGAAATTTTTGAAATTAAATGCAAGATTCATAAGATTAAATCAACATTATATATGGAGATATATAATTTTTTTTATGTTGATTCATAACTCAAATCGAACTAACAACTAAATTCAATTTGTTTGAGGAACAACCCGTTCAAACTAAATTAAATCTCGATATTTTGGGTCGGTTCGGTATTTTGGATTTTGGATTTCAAATTTCGGTTGCAATCGGCTAGAAAAAAATTGAAAATCAATCCATCAAAAGCGAGTGAATGCTCGGCAGTAAATGATATAAAGGAAAATTAGGAAATTAAATTTTAATTTTATAAATTTTGACAAAATTGGATTGACTATGTTATATGAATTAGAGCACGACATGTAAAATATTAAAGAATTGAAATCTCGCGTATGTATGTATGTATGCATGTATGTATGATAAAAATTGGCAAATATTTATACCATAATATACAATCTTAAAATCTCAACTAAATAGTAAGTAAAATTCTTCATATTTGGCACGGCATATGTCAATTTTAAGACAATTACAGTGGCATCCATCACCATCCATGATTTAGCGACATTTCTACAAGAAAATTCTTGAAAATGATATCCTAATCAAAATTTGATCAAAATAATGAATTTCACAATGCATGTATTTACTTAAAATTCGGTGCAATATATGTATTGATCATCCATTTATTACATGCATCTCAAAACATACTAAAAACCCGTGAACTGATTGAAATAATGATTGTGTTAACATCAATGACAAAATAGCATAAATATTTTATGGATAACAGTAATAACATACATACATACATACATACATATCATATCATATAATAGATATCATTATTTTAATTTTTCAAAAATTACCTATGCATCATAGGTAAGGTAGCATGTGTATATATATATATATATATATATATATCAAAGATGGGATGAAATAAATGCAAAAGGTACAAAGTTCGGTGTTGATTAGTTGCCTCAACTTTCATTTTAGGTTGCTGTCCATTTCAATAGTACATATAACGCATGGGTGAGGTTGGCGTTGGCTTTTTTGGCTGCATAGAGCAAATACCACAACAGCTAGCCTATCAGCTTCTTCCTCTTCTTTTTCATTTTTCTACACACAGATCAAAGACGTGTATAAATAAAATTCTTCTTTCATTTTTATCCTTCCGTCTTCTTCTTTCCCCATCTTTTCAGTAGTCTTCAATATCTTCTTAGTGAGAAGAGCCGTGAAAGATCTCACCTTGTTATAAAGTTCTGTGGACCAGAATGTAGAAAATTTTGAGCTTGATCATGTTATGATCCAAATGGTTAGAGCTTTTAAAAATATTTTAAAATTAATACAATGCATGTTTATTTTTATATTGTATATTTATCAAAGCCCTCATAGGGGCAAAGTTCGTACTAAGCAAATCCCGTGGATCTGGGTCTGCACAGTTATACGGAAAACACGACTTTCATCAGAGTAACCTGTTAGGGTAACCCGCAAAATTTAACTCGCTAATGTGCCAGTTTTCTTTTACTAGATGGCGAGCTAACCCGTCAAACTGTTTGGTGAAGTAGTTCACCGAATTGGTTTAACCATTCCGTCTGACGAAATGACCAATCAGATTCACTAGCTTAGCTTGTCTACTCGGCAGTCCTTGTAATTATAAGAACGCAAAAGTCAAGACTGGCGTCAAGGGTTGATATATGTCACATCCTTATCCATGGGCCTCCTAACTTATACGTTGTGGTCTACTCAT